ATATTATAAAATCAAATAAATAATGTTGTTATAAATATTATGTACTATTGTATGTTATATAGTTATTATAAACGTAATAAGTTATGACTATACCAAGTGCTTTAACACTTAAATTTAAGATTTTTCAGAAAGTAGAGTTAATCGATGTATACACTGGACGGCCCATTTATGAACTGATTTCTTTTAAATTCAAAATGTATGTATGTATGTATGTTACATGTATGACAAAAGTTACTTTTGCAACCAAAAAAATCCTTATTTATGTACATTCTGGTTGAAGTTCATAATGGGTATTAATTTCGTTATAAAAAATGGTTCTGCAACAAATGGGCCAGCGGGTGGCGCCGGAGTCGAATTATTTAAAGTAATATTTTATGAGTGTCCATGTCCATCATATGAAAGTCGGTTATTTACTACCTACGTCTTGCTTCATCGCAGACAAGAGCCTTGCATTTAATTGTAGCAAGGTATGTAATGTTGATAATACAGTGAAAACTCCCATAAGCAGACACCGATGGTCACCTACTTTTTGTCGGCCTATGAGAGATGTCCGCTTATAGAAATAAAATTAAAATTCAAATATTACAAACTGAAATTGCGGGTTATTCTTCCATAGACAGAAACAGGATGAATTAAGAATAAATTCAAATGTATGCCGTTTTCTTTCCTACCGAAAAATCTCATTGCCCGCTCCGCTCAAGCAGCACGAAGAGTGCAACGAAAAGGCAACACTTTTTCTAGAAAATAAAGTATATTTGAATAAGGACTACGTTCTTGTGTACATACACATATCGTCGTTTAAAGTACAAAACCGCGTATCGTCATTCTGCAAAACCGCGTAACTGACATTGGCTGCCAAAAATTGGATTTGCTCACACAAGCTCTTGGATCAATCCTTATCCATTCGTCCTGAAATATACTAGCCAGAAATGCGATTGCTTTATAAAAAAGAGAACCATTTTGAAATATGAGTGTTTTTACGCTCTAGAAAATAATTTCTACAACTTCCCATACGCGGTTTTGCATTTTGTTGATACGCGGTTTTGCACTTTAAACGACGATATGTAGAAGCGCAAGAGTCAACATCCGACTGAAAAAAAAATTGACCGCTTGTTAGAGCTTCGCGTCCGCTTAAGGGAGATTTTTTCATAACTGGACATTTTTGAGTGTCGGCGGAAAGTCTGTGTATGGGGCAGAATTTGTATGGAAAAACCCATAAATTGTTCGTTCCCAAGAATGTGACCGCCTATTAGAGCGTCCGTCTTTGAGAGCTTTCACTGTATACACCTTAATATATTTAATTATCAGGTATTTGCTATATTACGCAGTCCATTTAGACTACATGTACATATGTACATATTTCATGCATTTCGTCGTTTGAAAGATCAACTTAAATCGAATTTAGATATTTTTACATCTTTTAAAACGAATACAATAATTCTTTATCCTCAAAATCAAAACATTTTAATCACATACATACATATGTATGTACGTACATAAGTGGTTTATCAAATGCCCACATATCCCTATTTGTGAATGAAATTTGAGTAATACAAATGCTATAGGAAACCTCGTATTGGCAACCGGTCCCTGAAATAATTTTTCTCCAATACCGATTTCATTGCTTGGAAGCACCGAAAGGCAATAAAAACTACAAAATACATATGTATGTATAGATCCTAATGATTCATTCGCAACTACCCCACGCAAGGATATTTCTATTTTCATCATTTAATTTGAGAAATGCAGAACCGCATATCAAGATAATGCAAAACCGCGTATGTGAGGTGGCATAAATTATTTTCCAGATAGTAGAAACACTCATATTTCTAAATGGTTCTCTTTTTTTACAAAGCAATCGCATTTGTGACTAATATATTTCAGGACGAATGGATGGATAAGGCTTGAGCCAAGAGCTTGTGCGAGCAAATCCAATTTTTGACAAATAAATGTCAGTTACGCGGTTTTGCAGAACGACGATACGCGGTTTTGTATTTTAAACGACATGTAGGCTTTTATCGATAAATCAATTAACTTCAATATACTAGAGCCAGTGCAATTGGCCAAAAATCAGCTCGAATTGTATAGGCAAAATATTTACAATACATATATCTACATATGTATGTATGTATATACATACGTATATGGATGTACACACAAATTTAGAAACGCTGATTGTAAAACTAGAAAACTTTTCCATACGAAATAATTCGTAAATGTAGACGTTTATAGTATATGTTTACGTAAGAATAATCTTGAATTACAATCACGGCCGCAATCTTTAGTTCAAGCCTTTGAGCAAGAGCTTAACGCCAACCCACTTTTTTTTTACACATTAGCTGCGTTGGCCATTTTCCCCATCGATCAATTAGATTTCAAATAAATTTGAATTACCTTTTAACGCCGTTTTTCTCCAATTGTCGGCACTACTTATCTTCACCCACTTTTATTGAATGTTTTCACAGCTCGTTTTGCTAATTATTGTTGCTAAAATGAGTGATTTTTTATATTAAAACAAATTTTTAAGCCGAACAAAAACAATTGCCAGTTAACTTTTTTCCGTTCCTCTTCCCAATACAATCATCAATGAAGTAAAAACTAGAGGTGTAAAACCATCGATTTTTTTTGTCCTATCGATAGTCCGACAGACATGTGATTCTGTATTTATTTATTTTAGTTTTATTTCTTCTTCTCTTTTCATTTCTCTTAAACATACAAGTGGAACTAAATATTTGGTACCTACTTTTTTAAAAGTGTAATGAAAAATTTCGAAAAGGACCTTTTAAAATACCGCTTACTCCAGTAGAAAACTGATAATAATTAACTTATACCAATCATCTACTCACCACTATTTACTATTTAATAAAAATGATATCAAAACGGTTTCTTGTTCTAAAATTTCAATTTACTAGCTAAATACCTTACATATGACTTGGGATATCTAAACCACAAATATAAAATTTCATAACGCATAATTTTTTTCAATTTCAATCCATTTCAAATTCTCAATAACTTTGCTTCTAACTTAACGGTTAAGCAAGTATCCAAACGTCTTTCCAAAATTGAACGCAATCCATATAAATACGATACTATCGACGATATATCGATAGTTTTGAAAATAACATCGAATACTATCGATGGTCTGACTATCGATAGTTTTGAACCTCTAGTAAAAACTTTTCATTTTCCTTTTTCCATTTTTGACAGCAACGTTGCCAACTATTTACACGGAAAAGCAGAGTTGCCAAAAGACATTTGATTACATTTCTCATAAAAAAATTTTGAAACGTCATACTTTTTAAACACATGCAGTTTTATAGTACATTAAATTTTAGTATAATTTAGAAAAAACTTCAAGCAGCTACACTGCCTATTTAAGGGAAGAATTGTATGAACTTAAAAGTTTATGTTTGTGGAATTCAATCCGAAGCATTTTACAAATCCCGGGATTTCTGTATGCAAAAATTCTAATACCGGGAACCCGAGTTTTTTCGGGACGTCGACTCCATCACAATTTTTTTTCATTTTGCAGTAGGTTCGCTTTTCTTAGACCACAGAGATTCATTGTCACCACATTTGATTTTACAGGGAGCGTAGTGCCCCTTCGTAAAATAGTCCGTAATTTAATGTTTAAATATTTTTAGAGTATTCTTAAATATCTATATTACTTGTCAAAAACACTTACTTATATTTGCAGAATTCTTGCAAGTTTAATTTGTCGTATTTTATCTTTTAACTTCTAACCCATCAAATTCAAATTTATAATTTGCTTAAATTCTTACCAGCCGTTTCCTTGCTGGCAAATTGTAGCTGGGAAATTTTTTTTCAGCAGAAACCAGTAATTTCCCCTCAAAATTACACGTCACTTTGCTTTCTCAATTTCCCCTAGTTTGCAATTTTTGTTTGCGTACCTCAATGTCAAAAGCTGATACGTCAATAATTAGTTGTTTGTTTACTAATTTCCAGCAAAATTCAGTAAAAGGTACGCGAATTTAACTATGTGGGCACAAAATGCTAAATGCCTTAACCATTTATGCATCAGCGCCGATATTTTTAATCATTTTCGTTAATTTCTATTTAAAATATAACGCACTGTTGCAAAATTTGAATTGCGCCCATCAAAATTTCAAACTCGTTTAATCAGGACTCGAATCTTCGTAGACAATATCGTATTACTCGTCACGTAAAAACGGTTTTCATGTTATGACATACGCGAACGTACTCTATATCCCACTCATCATTTCTTTCGTATGATTTTCGATCCATGAACGGATGTTACGATTCGAGCTCAGAGTTTTTAGAATTTTTTTTGAGTAGATATGCAGTTTTGTAGTACATTCAAATTCAAAGTAATTAAGTGCAAGCTTTGTAGTGCCTAGGAATACCATTGATTTTTGACAATTTTTTTCGATGATGGTATATCGCTCTTTATTATATTGAAATAGAATGGGCTACCCAGGGCTACCGAACTGTAGCTATACTTAAATTTTGTTAAATCTAATGCCGAATTTCCACTAGGCATTGAAATTACAAAATATTTATGCCATTTAAAAATGCCATGTAGGAATGAACTTAATGACATGATTATTTTTTAATGCCCAACTTTGACATTAAAAAAATAGTCATTGAGTTAATCTCCGCTTGGCATTTTTTTTAATGACATCCATTTTTTGTCATTTCAATACCTAGTGGAAATTCGGCATTATTAAAAACTTTGGTAGCATTTTATTTTTTTTTAATTCTCAGGCTTTTGAAGAAGTTCGCAAAATTAATTTACATGATTTTTGTTACCAATTGAGCTAAATTTTTAATAAAAATTAACGAAAAAGATAATGGAAGACATTTTGAATATCGTAAAAAAAAAACAAAGAAACGAATACATCTGTGAGTAACTTTCTCTTATTTTGGAAGTTATTACTTTTATCGCGACAGATTTCAATTTTCGGTAGCAATTTTGGGTTGCGTACGATAATACAGATTACACAAAGGCAAAAAATAAGTAAATTTTTAAAACAGTGATTTTTATTGTGTAAAAGTGGTTCCATATTAATTTCCTTGTATTCGCTATCAAATACACAAACTTCTCACTTCTTCTATATTTACTCCTGCACGCATTCTGATCATAGTTTAGCTTATTTGTCCTTGCTATCTCCCTTACCACCACGTATTCTACCGGTACGACGGGCAGCGATGAGACCGACCTTACGACCAGCAGACGTACCACGTTTGACTGTCGAAGCTTTACCAATATGTTGATGGTTACCACCACCGTGAGGATGCTCAACGGGGTTCATAGCCACACCACGAACCTTTGGCCAGCTGTTGCGTTTCACCTTATACTTGTGATATGCACGACCAGCCTTCAAGATGGGCTTGTCGATACGACCACCACCGGCAACAATACCAACCATAGCACGATTGGCCGAGGGCACCACTTTCTTGGCACCAGACGGCAGCTTGACACGGGTCTTCTTTGTGTCGGGATTGTGGGCAATCACAGTTGCGTAGTTACCTGATGTACGTGCCAAACGGCCACGATCACCAGTCTTCTCCTCCAAATTGCAAATGATGGTACCTTCAGGCATGACTGACAGTGGCATCACATTGCCGATTTGCAAGGTAGCTTTGCGGCCACAGTACACGAATTGGCCGGTATGCATGCCCTCTGGTGCAATGAACAATTCCTTGCGAATTTTGTAGCGATAGGGGTCACGGAAGTGTACAACAGCCAAGGGAGCACCGCGGCCGGGATCATGGATAATTTCCTGTAAAAAATTATTCACGTTTAACTACTCGTTACTAGCATTTTTATTGCATTAATTTACCTTAACCACGCCACGAATGTATCCATTGCGTTCAGAGAAATCCAAAGGTCTTAATTTGGCGGCTCCCTTACGCCTCTTAACATGGGCCTTGAAGACGGACCCAGCGCCTTTACGTTGTGCACGAATAACACGACCCATTTCTGGCTTTCAATACCTGTAAATCAAAGAATGCGTATAAATCGTTAGAGCTGCATTACTAATATACAAATATACGGCCGTCCCGTCGCCGTCGCCATCACACAATTCGAGAGTACACAAAAAAGTGTATCAAAATATAACAAAACAATAAAATAGTTTCTTAACTATAATAGGAATAATTTAAAGTACACATTTTACTTAAAATTTTTCGGCGATGGCTCAAGTAAATTGAAATATTTTAAGATTAAATTTTGGCAAAGAACACAAAACACCCACCAAGCCTGGAAAATCAGAAAAGAAAGAGAAAGAGGAAGAAAAGTACAAAACACGAGAATTTGACATTTCGCAGTCAGTACTGCCAACTTTCAGAACTGACATCCAATAAGTGTGGTGAAAAATACGATAGCGGAGAGAACGTACCTTACGACGCGTTTACATTAGACAATGCTGTCAAGACGATAAAGAAATAAGTATTAGTTGTCAAAAACCCTGATAATTGTCTCCGTGACGTAGGCGTCCTGACAATAAAGAATGCCGACTGTATATTTTCATAGTTTCAGCTTTAAAACGCAAAAAAAGAATATTAAAAAAATTTAATTTTTTTCGACGCTCATAACCATATTTTATAGCACGATCTGGCCACCAAAATCAAAACTAGACTATAAATTCCGCACTTGTGGTCAAACGCAGCACAAATTATTGTACAATAACACAAGCATGAGCAAAATATCAAAGTGGTTTTGATTTTAGCGCAATAACTGCAATTTAGTACAAACAACCCCACGCACGACACTAACGACCGACTTAAGCCCGATATTGCGCAATGTTTTTGTGTGGTTTAGGGGCCCTAAAAAACAGCGGCGTTTGCAAAGAAGTTCCGGGTTTAAGACTTTAAATAACAAGTAAAAAATGTTTGCCTTTAAACTCGTTATATTATTCATAGTTTTCAAAAATTCATTTCTGCCAGCCAAAAGTATCAAAATGGGACATTTGTGAACAAAAATGTATCAAAGTATAAAATCTTACAGTTTAGAAAAAAAAGTATCAAAATTATACAATTTTATCAAAACGCCAACGCTGCTGACTGCATATTATGGCATTGCCAACACACTTCAAATTAAACGTTTAACGTTTTTATTAACGTTTCAACATTAAGAACACTTTTATAAGCATTAATTGTTAAATATTTAGAAAAAAATACGTGCATTCATTTTTTTATGAAGATGATCTATTTATGAAAAGAAAAGTGATTAGTGCAGTGTTTATATAAAAAATACGAAAAGTAATGGGGAAATTTGAACAACAAATAACTTCGAAACTATTAGCATTTCTACACAAAATGTTGAAGATATCGGTCAATGAGCACTTCCTCAACACCCCCTGTTAGCGTTGTTTTAGCAATTTTTTTGTTCGCGCGTTTTTTTTCCATACAAAGTATGTGCGACAATTCTTTTGTATCGAGAAAATGAGTAAACCCCTCCAAAAAAAAAAAAATGTTACCAAAATTAACTGTCCCAGCTACTTAAAATTTGCACTTTGAATTGAATGGGCTACAAAACTGAACACTCGAAAAGTTTCTACGAAATCTAAAAAGCTCAAAATTTTGTTGAAACTTTGTAGAACTTAGATAATTTTTGTAAAACGTTTGAAATTTTGACTCGCATGGTCTTTGTTAAATAACGAGCTACACTTCATAAAAATTAAATAATCGAAAGGGTAATAGCCGAATAATTCTAAAACGTCTCTTCCCTATTTATAGTTTTACCACTGTATCTACAGCTTAAATTTTTTATATCCATGATTTTTTTGATGAAGTTAGTATCATTATTTTTTTATTCTCACTAAATTCATGAAAAAAAACAAAAATTAACAAATAATTATAAAAAGCTTAGATAAAAAA